TTAAAGGAGTAGAAATGATGATTAAACCAGAAAGTAAATTATCAATGGTATTCAATAATATTAAGAAAACACAAAAAAGATTTGAATATAAAGAAATCAACGAAGAAACATATATTAAAACAATAATAGAAATGATAGAAAAAGAAGGGAATGAAGAAGAGAAATGATAATAAATATCAAAGAATACTATACAATATTAAAAACAATAAAAGAATAAATAGAAAAAGAAGAATAAGATATAATTCAATAATGATAGTATCAATGTATTTTAATGATATTAAAGATTTTATTAATTTAGAAATTGGAATTAAAAGATTTCAAGGAAATATGAACGATTTCATTTTAATCCAATTCACTTAAATGAATATTCAAGAAATTTGTTTCACAATATTGAATATTTCATGTTTATAATAGAAATGATGAAATATTTAATGATAGAATAATATTTAAAGAAATAATATGGTATAAATTTAATTATTCAACATACTACAAGAAAAGAATAATGAAATATATGAAATATATAAAATATACAAAAGAATGTTATAAATAAATATAGCAATATAATATCATTAGAAGTTAAATCAATTTGAGACAAATCTTTTATTTGATGTGAAGAACTAAAATTAATATATCAAACAAGAGTTACTTCTTGAGGAAGAGATGTTTTGTTATTATTCATCATTAACACCAGTCAATATACCAACATCAGTTATTGAAATAGGAAATAATTTTTTTATGAATGTACATCATTAACTAATATCAATATACCATCATCAGTTACAACATTTGAGTAATCTTGTTTCTTTAATTGTGGTTCTCATGAAGAATTAAAATATAATAAGATAATTCAAAATGAATGTTTTGAGAAAGGTTGGTGATAATGAAATAACCGATTAAAGAGAATGATACAAATAAATGAAGTGGTATATTAATTATAATACATTATTCAATTTCTATAATTTATAACAATTCATTTTTTATTGAAATATATTATAAACAGATAATAAAAGAGAATATGTTATTAATAAATGATATTGAATGAATTTATTCTTTAATCTATATAATATATTAGTTATATTTTAATCATTCAATAAATAAATATAATTAAAATATTTATTACAATCATCAAATTATCATTTTATTCATTTAGAATTAAAATTCAAATAAGAAATAAAGAGAATATAATGATAAGAATAATAGACAATAACATACAAAGATTAAATAATATGATTCTTTGTTAAGAGTAATAAACAACAAATTAATAAAATAAAATATCATATAAATTATTAACAATAATTAGAATAACATGAATATAAAAATAATAGAATCAATAAACATGTTTACCAAATAAATTATTAATAATCTTATTATTATCATGATATGTTGTTTATTATTACTTTATTTATGTATTTATTTCTTTTCAACTTATTTAATTACTGTTGTTTTCATTGGATATTTCTCATTTATTTATTTCTTCTATTCATTTTTATATATCTTTTACAATATTATGAATATTCATAGTATTAATCATTAGCATTTGCTATCGTACTTTGAAACACTATAAATACATAAGTGGTGATAATTACAAACAAGGTATTATGTGGAACTATTGTTAAATGATTTGATCTTGTAGCTGTTATTTTAATATTTGTATGGTATTGGTAATGATAAAACATGAAATAAAGAATAAGTGAAATTCAAATTAACCAAAAACAAAAGAAATATAATTGAGAATAATGATAGATGAAAGAAAGAGTATACATAGATATAGTTAATTTAAGAATGTTCTTATGAAAATAAAATATTTATTTGGAATTGGAAGATAATGACTATATTTAAATTGATATTCAATGAACAAAAGAGAATAAACCAACACTAAAACATAAATAGGAAACACTAATGTGATGTTTATAACAATATATCTTCATATCTATTATTTATTTCTAATTAAGAATTTGAATAAATAAGATTCTTATCTCTTAAAAGAAAACTAAACAATTTTCATTAAATAAAACATATAAAAATGAACGTAATTAAGAATAAGTTATATTTTAATACTCTGATCTTCATTTGTTTTATTTTTACTTATTCTTTTATAACTTACAATCAAATGATTAAATAAATCAACAACTATTATTTTAATGGTATTGATTAAGATTTTATACTTTTTAAATATCATATTGAAAATTACTTAATAAAATGTCATTACTTATTTAATAAAACCAATCAATAATTGATTAGAAGATTATTCAATGAAAATTTTCATGAAATTGTGTTAATTAAAATAAACAGTTGTAACACAACATTGTAATTCTTTTAAATCATTGAAACCTTTTTCAAACCATCATATTTCTTATTCTTTCAATTTGTTAATCAAAAGAATGAAATGTATATAATCATATATCATTATTCAATTTACCAATTTTATTACCTATGCATATGATACTTATATTTGTATATTTATCATTAAATCATGAATATTTTATGTATCTTTATTGAATCGTTGTTGTTTTCATATTTAAAACATCATTAATTTCTTGCTTTAAATCATACCTTAAATTATAATCAGAAGAGAGTATAATTATTTTAACAATGAAGATTTGTATGTTTATAGAAACTACTATGAAATTATGATTGTTTTACATTAACACTCAATAACATTGTTTATTTTGAAAACTAACATTATTGAAATGGAACACTCTTTGAATGAATTATGAATTAATTAGCACTTTAACTCTTCTTCAATACTTATACAATTTCATTAAAATGAAATAAAAACTAACTTGTCAATAAGCTCTCACTTCATTTATCTCATAGTAATGATGTTATTCTTTTGATTTATTGAAAATAAACATCCAACCATTCCAGATATTCTTATTAACTTATTTTATAACATTATAATTACTTTTCATTATAAAATCATTAATTTCTATGTTATCATTCCATTGAACTATCTTTTGTATCTTCATTCAATGAGATTAATTTATCTTCTAAGTATTCTTGTCATTTTGTTTGTTCATCTTTTTAATAATTATGAACTTTGGAATACTTCACTATTTTCTAATTCTTAAGATATTTTGTTATTTCTTTTACTCATTCTTGATGATTATAGAATTGTGTTGAAGAAATAAAAAAATGTTTGTTCGATATATTCTTTCACTTGTTCATTTCATTTGTCAACTACCTCTTTTCATTTATTCTCATTGTAGTATTATAGTTAATCAATCTGATGACAAGAATGATATGATATGATATTAAAATTAATAATCAGTCAAATGAACTAAAATACGAGAAAGTAATGAATCTCTTCTGTCCATCATTGAAAGAGGTTGTGTATCGGTATTTCTATTATCATCTTGAAAGACATCTTCAACTAATATTTGATCAAACACTTGGTTGTTTGTTGAAAGACAGATGAGATCCCACAATAACCTCAATGTGATCTTGCCAACCCAATTCTTTCTTACCTCATCTATTTTATCAACAAGCCTTCCTTCTCCAACAACCCCTTGAAGAACTTCATGAAGTTCTTGGATAATGGTTGTTCTTGTTGCTGGAGATAATAATGATTGTGAAATAAAGACTAATGAATGTTCAAAAGCAATAACTGACATAATAGAGTGTGGGGGTGGTGTTGAATATTCAGGACAGACTGATAATATTGCAGACACTGATGCTTGGATGTATGTACAAGG